ACACTAGTGTGAGTTTCTGAGAACATCGTCAACAACATACAGAACTCATATGACGGACTACACTGTGAAGTCGTGCATGAAGGACAGCTGACAGATGAATTCCAAGAGAAGACCAGAGTCAGACAAGACTGCTTACTCTCCTTCTTTCTCTTTCTTCTAGTGGTCGACTGGATTATGAAGATCTCGACATCTGAGGGGAAGCACGGTATTCAATGGACTCGTTGGATGCAACTAGACGATTTGAACTTCATAGATGACCTAGTTATTCTACCCCATACATACGAACTAATGCAGTCCAAGACAACAACTATAGCAGAAGCTTCTGTATCAGCAGGCCTCAACATACACAAAGGAAAAAGCAAGATCCACAACGTCGATGAACACTAAACTAGTCACACTCGATATAGAAACTCTGGACGGTGTAAAAGTTGTACGCGTCTGAGGGACATCGCTGATAAATTAAGGTGATCTGATGCATGTGTGAATGCACGGACCGGTAAAGCATAGATTGAGGTCTTGCGATTGAAGAATATATGGAACTCAAAACGACTGTCATTCAAAATAAAAGTCACAATCTCTGATACGAATGTCAAGATGGTTCTGGTGTAAGGAGATAAAACGTGGAAAACTACTTAAACCATCATCAAATAGTTACAAGTATTTATAAGTAGTTGTCTACGCACGATACTCGATATCCGTTGGTGGGATACCATCAATAACAGCCGACTGTGTGAGAAGATAATCTAGCATCCAGTTGAAGAGGAAATTAGGGATAGACGGTGTAAGTGGACAGGACATAGACTGCAGAAGTAATCAAATTGCATCAGGAGGCAAGCACTAACTCGGAACCCTGGACGGAAAAGGAAAAGTTGAAGATCAAGGAATATATCACATCAGGAATCGATAGAAGAAACCTACAGAATGGGTAGCAATTGGAAACAGCTGGAAAGAATTGCCCAGGACAGAGTTTGTAACTAAATTCTGGTCAGTGCCCTCTGCTGCTCGAGCAGTAACAGGCGTACATAAGTAAGTATACTGATTTTCTGACTGAGTAATCAATTCTTTGAATCTTCCATCGAAGGTAGTAGTGTCCCGCCTTTAAATAACGCGTTCAAGAAAAGACTTTGATGCACATATTTACTAGTAAAGGGGCTAACACAGGACTTCGTTACCCTTACCAACCCAGCGCGCGCTATTTTAAAGAACGATGGTATTTTTCACGCTGAGTAAATTCTGTTGTTTTGATCGTCTATTACGTATCACGACTAGTGTTTACACTTTAATTGAATTTATTTCAGTTAGAGAATCGTATCAGAGTATCATTTTTATTTCTAAAGTTTTTTACCGAAAGTACTTTGTTTTCTATTGTATTTCTTAGTACTTTTGGTTCTAACAATTTACACTTTTCCACTTTTCTTGTCATAGATCATTTTGTCTCTGGGTACTATTGTCTAATTTACTTTAAAAAACTCTGTTCGATGACTGGACGGTGCAAGAAAAGCAATTGCCAACATCCGGGCTGCCAATATCCCGTTGGATGAGGCATGTAGTGTGATGGGTGCAAAGGCTGGTGCCACGAAGTTGATGCTTGCGGATTTTGAATATTTCAGTAAAAACGGTTGAGTATGGCTTTGTCAGCAGTGCTGTTCGGACGAAAACAGCTTGTAAACTGAGGCCATCTCAATGGTAAATGCTGCGCAAACGCGTTTTAGCAAGCGCAGTCGTGCCACACCGGATAGCACCCTCTCTGTCGACACGCAAATTGATGTAAAGCCACCCCAAGTAAGCTCGAAAACAGCTGACTCACATCCATCAAAGAAGGAAAGACCGTTTTCAAAGAAGTCTGTCTTAGCTAAGAACTCAAGAAAGGAAGTTTCCTCTGTTCTCCGTCTTCTAAGTAGTATCCAGCAAGAAACGCCTAGGAATCGCAATATCAAGGCTCTATCTGTTTCTAGTAGGAAGCACAACCTGGCTTTCCAAGTCGTCGACAACCCTCCGTATTCCTACAGATTCCTACGCAACTGTGGTTGCGAAAGTTGACGAATGGGTACAGGTCATAAGCAAGGAACGACAACGGTATGAACGTAAATCCTACCCCCTTACAAAAGTAGTCAAGAAACTGAAGACTGATCACAGTGACAGGTCAGTTATGTTTCATAGAAACAAGGAGAGTGAATGCTCTGAACCGAAAACTCGTTTTGAGCATGACATAGGGTTGATAAAACAGCTACTAAACCAACTTATGCCTCAAAATATCTCTGGAGTCACCTTGCTAAAGGTGTATAGACTAGGTAGTCAAACGAACTTAAAACCAAATCAAGCCAGGCTGCTGAAAGTGGCATTCAAATCTCCTGATGAATAGGACGCTATTTTAGAGAGTAGACACGAGTTAAAATGTTCAGGAGTTTTTGTCTGCAAAGACTTACCTCTGGCAGACCGTGCAAAAAGACGGTAAGCCGAAAAACAACTACAACTTAGGCTAGACGCTGACGAAAAGGATCTAAAAATTGTAAATTTTCGGGTTTTGAGGCTTCAACAGAGAATGATGCCGGAGGCACTCTGTGTGAAACATGAAGCCATCTAAATTGGCTTCGGATTTGTTAGATTAATCCACGAAGGTTGCTCAATAAGCGGTTGGAACTAGGTGTACATATTGACTTTAAAAAGCCAGATGTAATCACATTCTCAGAAACTTGGCTGGTGCAGTCTATAGTTGATGCGGTTATTACGTATGCTCTAATGCAACATGTGAAAGAAGCAACTAGAAACTACCCGAACTCTTAATCATTTTTACTAGATCTTATATCGATCCATTATGAGGATGGCGTTACAAACCTCGATTACATGCCACTCCTAGGTAAAAGTGATCATGTAGTTCTAAATTTTGACTTCCATATAATTGTCAAGCACGATCATGCGTCAGCTCAATCCGGACCTAACGTCTGGATAGCAAACATACAAGATATCATGCACTCAGCATCATCAGTAGATTGGACAATAGAGCCACAGTCCTCAATCAAAACGGCTCGGGACGCATTTCGGAATTTATATTTAAAAGTTACCTCACCCCACATCCTTTGGACTACATCATAGGGGCGGAGAAATTCTCCAACATGGTTCAGAAGGGAAGTTTTCATCCTTCTCCGTAGGAGAAGAAAAATGTGGGATAGATTTAGGTTACTGGGGATTGATGAGACGAAATCTCAGTATCGAAAAGCTCGGAATACCTGTGCCTCAACCCTCCGTAAGTCTAGAAGATTATACGAAGAGAAAATTGTCGAGAAACCCATAGAATGTCCTAAAAGTTTGTATTCGTATATAAACCAAAGGACAAAAAGAAGGGGAAATTTTGCCTGCACTATGGGGAGACAGTACTGCCTCATCATTAGTGGAGGACGACTTTGGCAAAGCTTAAGTATTCCCAAAATTCTCTAGCCATGTATATACCATAGAAACACTCTTCCCGTCACTCCATACAAACCCCTTTGCACAGACACTGGATAGCGTGACCATTAAGGAACTCGATGTCTTTGGTCTGCTAAATAAGCTTGACATAGATAAATCGTCGGGGCCCGATGAATTGCATCCTAGGCTACTGAATGAATTATCTAACTTCGTTGCGAAACCTTTAAGTATATGCTTTAATCTATCTGTAAAGCAGGGTCGTTTACCAAAAGATTGGAAAAACGCCATAGTAAGTCCTGTCTTCAAAACAGGTACGAAACGTAAACCTGAGAATTACCGACCTGTTAGCTTAACTAGTGTGGTTGTTAAAATCTTACAAAAGATTATTCGAGAGGAGCTGTTTAAGTATCTCGATGAAAAACGGATCCTTTCGAAAAAGCAGCATGGTCTTAGAATAGGTTATTTTTGTCTCACTAACTTATCAATGGCTCGTGAAAGCTGGTGTACCCAGGGCACAGTTTTGGGGCCAGTGTTATTCCTCTTGCTTGTAAATGATCTTCCTCGCCTAATATCATCATCGGTTTTGCTATATGCTGACGGTGTCAAGATATGGAGAAGTAAGGGTGATGGCTTGAAACTCCAGAATGACCTGGAGAAGTTATCTGGATGGTCTCAAACCTGACGGTTCCCGATTAATACTTCCAAGTGTATTGGGATGCATATCGGTAATCGAGGTACAGATACATACAAGATGAATAACACTGAGCTACCGCTTATCCAAATACACAATAACTTAGGAGTCATCGTTAGCCAAGACTTAAAGAATACTGAACACTGCCGTGCGATAGCCGTCAAAGGTTTAAGAATTTTATGGTCTTTAGTCATGACGACGCTAAAACATTTTTGACTTTGTGCGCAGTGTTCGTACGTCCTAAAATTGAGCACTGCATACAAGCGGCTAGCCCCTGCTTAAAAAAGACAAAATGATTTTGGAAAAGATTCAGAGAACATCAGCTAAGCTGATTCCTGGAATAGCATAGCTCCCGTATGATGCTCGACTGGCCAAACTAAATCTGTCCCCGTTGTCATGTCGGAGAACTAGAGGCAACTGATCACAGTTTCCAAATTTCCTATTGATAAATTTGCACCTGATATGCCCCCATTTTTCTTGTCTTCCGAAACAGAGAATTTACGAGGACACAGCGAAAGATTTCACAAGTACATAACGAGTTGCTTGTCACATATCGACTTTCCCATCGAATCATCGACGAGTGGAATTCATTACCTCAGCACGTGGTTCAAGCTCCATCTGTCGACTCTTTAAAAAGAAAGTTTTATCATCTGAGAGACGGTCATTGCCTCCCGTTCTTCACGAACTGAAACCTTTTTCAAAACAATTAGTTGATCAATCATAACATTAAGCGCTCTATATTTCTGTAACGCTACTTTTAGATGGTGTTCGTAAGTGGTTGGGATTAATTAGTTCTTTTTCTTAGTTTCATCGAATTGATAATTCTTCACCGTTCACCACCTCGTACAGATGCTATCCAGTTTCCTTTTTAGCCGATAATTTTCGTTCTAGCGTGGAAAAAGGAGGGAAAAGTAAGACTTCATATACTGTGTAAGTGTTTTAGTTATCATGCCTCCATCTGCTTTAGATGTACTTAGTAAGTCTCAGGTTTATGAACGTGTAAAACTTTAAGCACGACTGAACGTCCAGTACCCAATGCTGTTCAAGCTAACTAACCAACAAGCAAACCGAACTACTCATTGTGGTGTACTTGAATTTGTTGCAGATGAAGGGAGGATTTATGTTCCTTATTGGGTAGACATCAAATATATCAGTTCTATTTTAGATGCTAAAAAATCTACATTTGGAAGAGGGTGGCCTGGTCTCTGTAGTTAATGCAGCCTTACCTGTGGCTTCTTTCGCTCGTTTCCAGCCTCAGAGTACTGATTTTCTGGACATATCTAACCCTAAAGCTGTGTAATTTTATTCCCAACTTATAGTTACATTTAGACTGGAAAATGCTCTCCGAGACTTTGCTTGCCTCACAGTCGGAGATATCATTGCTATCAACTACAATGAGCGTATATATGAGCTTAAAGTGTTGGAAACGAAACCGAAGGATGCAGTCACTATAATTGAATGTGACATGAGCGTAATTTTCCCATTCATATATTTGTCTTTTTAGGTTGATTTCGCACCTCCAGTTGGATATCAGCCTACTGATTCTGGTTCTTCGAGCAAACATAGTGATAAAGATCTACATAAGGTATATCTTTTAATTGTTCAAATTTTTTTATTTGAAACATAACTTACTGACAGCTGTTCAAAGTTCCTTTTGGCTGCCAACCCATATGGTACGAGTCTGTTGGTAAGATCCAATTAGTTTTGTGAAGTTCGAGATTATATCAGACTCATTTGTCAGAAGGAAGAATCTTTAGGGTATTGTGTCATCTCAGTTGGTTTGGTGGTGACGCTTTTGTTTCGAACCCCCGTAAACCTACGCACATGTGGTAAAAATTAATAAGTAAAAGTATCTGATGCCACTATCCTTATCTTTAAAGGTAGGAGTTATCGTATCATAAGAATTGAAATAGCATTGCTTTTTTGTTTATATCAATTACCTTAATGACTGTACATAATTTAGATGCACAAATATCATCGTCGTTTTGTCATCACTTCCATTTTTGTGACAGTTTAAAAATTGTCAAAAATATTTGTTGACAATATCTTTTCTCGTTCTGTCATTTGTCTACGCTGACTTCTTGTTTCAGATCGAAGAAGATCACATAGAAATCCCTTCAGTTGTTCAAGGATTCCAGGTAACTTGTTCATGTAACTTCTCTCTTGTTTAAATATTATGGCAATAAATACTTAAATACTTATTGCAATGGCTAAGGGACTCTAAGTAAACTTCAAGATCCTTGGTATTTCTATTTTGAAGATCGAGTAGGTGTTTACGTGTTTTGATTTGTTGAAAAATACTGACTTGTTAACTGAGGAACATCAAATATCTCATATTAGTAAATCGGTATAGTCCGGAGTCATCAAATGAGAAGGATAAATGACAAATAGCTAAGCTTACCTAGTAGTGATCCATGCTAATCTATCTTGTATTTACATCCATGGAATCATATATCCAAAACCATACTAAAGGGTCTTAAGTGTCATCGTCTTATATTACAATTATTGACTTCATAACTTATTAGCTCTTCGCCTGACTACCCAGAAATATTTCTCAATCTGATATCTTAGTTAGCATCACATTTGTTGATAGCCTGTAACTAGAAATGCGTAATAGATCTGTATCCTAGGTCAGTACGGATTCCCTACCTTGCTGACTCATCGGCCCTACTGTGTGCAAAAAACACTTCATTCTCATCGATTGGCAGATACCTTTATTGTAATATCACTTGTCATCATTTGCAAACTAGTCTGATAGAATGAAACAAACTACCTCATCATATTCTGAGTTAACAATAGAAGTCATAATGTATTGATATTGTATTCCCGACTGCCAAACAACGTTTATTCTCCGACAATATGTCGTCAATTACTTACTATCGTGAAGAGAAAATGAACTCCTTGCGTACATTAAAAATTCGTGTTAATAAGTGGGAACTAAATATTGAGTATTCGTTTTTGTTTTCTCTTTGTGATCATACTTTTTTCGTAATATTTAACCATAATGTTATCTGTCATCCAAAAGTATTGATTTCCTTCCTATTTCAGTTATAATTCCCTGTCTATCTTCAGGATTTTATGGTAATAGTAGTAGCAGCAGTGTAGAACAAAGTGTTTATTTAGCATATTCGAGTTGTGGATCCATGTCTCAGGTTTCACGGGTCGAATCGTCATTAGGACCTATGACTTATTCATCGTCTATTTTAAAACTAATTCGTCGACTTCTGTTAATTTGTTTTCTTTTTATATAAAATCCTCAATGGTCCTGTCAGCCTAAAAAATAAGTAACATAAACTTTAGTCACATCATGGATGCCACCCATTTTCTTCTGAATAAGCGAATCATCAGTATTCAGGTTTCCTAATCCACATGAGTTGTATTTGTAGCTAAATAGACTAATTCATAGGAATATTTGTATGTTACCAGTTTTATTTGTTTAAAAAGCTCATGAATTCTCATTTATTCTAGGCATTTAGCGGTACAGGTTATCGGTTAGATGGAAAAAATAAACAGGATAAAACTGATGAAACAGATAATGGTCAATCATTAGGGCAATTGAAAGAAAGAGAAAGGTAAGAATGAACATTATTTCTAACTTTATTATTGTTACACCAAAGTGTTCACAGAATAAATTGAATTATTGATAACATGAAAGTAATTTACATGTGATTTTAGTAAAGAAATTTGATCTTCGACCCCAACTGAATCGAAAGCTGAAGCAAATAATCATATCTTAACAGAAAGAGTTCTCTTTTCGGCGAATTCATCTTCAAAACTGTACAATCGCAAATATATATACTTGTCCTTTGATGAATACTTAAACCATTAACAATCAAACGATTATCAAACTTTCCTTGCTTTTAAAAGAATCTTTTAATAACTTTGCTTATTTAACCTCACTGTTAACATGTCTAACAAAAGTTTATTATCAGTATTATTATCATCCTGTTAAAATAAATACATATATTTGCGATTGTACAGCTTTGAAAATGAGTTCGCCGAAAAGAGAACTCTTCGCTGGACTAATCTTTCTTAATTAATGTCTTAATGGGTGTATTCCGTTTATCAAATATTATTATACAAAAGTGAGAATATGGAAAACAAAATTTCACCACCTGTTTTCTAGAGTTAAACTTTCAGACGGCCATGGTTACGGAAAGACCTAACATCTAAAAGTCCCCTATACTACTGAAGTTCATATTAAATCCAGAAAATTTAAGGCGATCGATGAAAAATCAGGAATTGTGATGCTAAATATTTCTAGCTTGAGTTTGAAAATTTTTATTGGTAGTTCACGATATCAGACTGTGTTATCACAGTGTAGTCTGTAATGAATTTTATCTAATAATATTTACCTTATACTCTTAATGCTTATTTGGTAGGATAATTTCATTCAATTCAGTTTAACTTAATGAATGATTAAATGTTTCAAAGTACTCTTTCTGCACTCTTGACTTTCTCCACAGGGGTGTACCAAACTATAATTATCGACCTGGAAGTTTAACATTTTTCCGAAATCTAAAACAAATTACTGCAGAGGTAGGTTTATTTTATCTAATATTTTCTATAATACTATGTTATGCTGTCAGCTGAAATTCCGTTGCCAGTTCATTTAATATGTATCATACCATGGTTACATTTAGTTTATCAAAGGCGGCGGAAATTTCGACGTTGACACTGTCCATTAACTTAAATTTTCCTCACTGAGGATGATTTATAACTGGTTTGAGACAGAGTAGTTAGTGTATCATTTTACGTTGCAATGGTTTAGACGACCAAATAGTATCACTAGTCTTCATACAAGTAACTGTAAATTAAATCTGAGTACTTAAACTTGTACTTACTTGCTGAATGTTTAAATCTTTTCAATCATTGCTTACTCTAACATTTGGAATTGTGAAAATAGAAGACTTGAATTTCCATATTGTGGATTCTATTGATCATTCTACTTCATTTATCTATGGTTAAAACAGACGCCTTTATTTATTATCCTTTTTGGTTAACAAAACTAAGTCTTCTAAGAATTCAGGTGTAAGCGAAACAATCACAGAAAAAGACGACACTCTTATCTACTCTCAGTCCAGACGTTTAGAACGATGGGCGGAACACTTTAAAGAACAGGTGAGCTGGCCTTCAGCTACTCTACAACTACCCTCCATTCTCAAACAGCCTGAATGAAGCATTGAAGTAGGCCTCCCGATTCTATTTGAAGTTCAAAAAGCTATAGCTAATCTGAAACGTGGAAAAGCAGCTGGTCCAAATGGATTGGCCCCAAAGGTCTTTAAGGATGGTGGTCCAGTTTTAGCGATTAGGCTAACTAATATGTTAGCTGAGATCTGGGAGTTGGACGTAACCCCATATGACTGACTGGTCACAATCACTGATTGTCCCAATATATAAGAAAGGTTCAAAATTATCCTGTGATAACCATAGAGGGGTTAGTTTGACTAACCTAGCATCTAAAATACTAGCCTCGATAATTATCAGACGCTTAACTAAGACTCGCAAACTGCAAACACGAGAGAATCAAGCTGGCTTCAGACCTCGTCGTGGCTGCCTCGACCACATATTCACCATTCGTCAGGCTCTATAACACAAGCATACTTATTGGCGTCCGACAATGGTGGTCTTTCTTGACTTAAAAGCAGCATTTGACTCCGTGGACCGCGAGATTCTGTGGCAGTGTCTGCCATTGAAAGGCGTACCTCAGAAGTACATAATCCTTGTGAAGGCTCTTTACTCGAACACCACCAGTCGAGTCAGAGCTTATGACGAACTGTCTCCGCTTTCGCGGCCCCAAGTGGTGTCTGTTAAGGCTGCCCACTCTTTTTCTGTTCAATTTCATCATAGACCTTATTATGGGAATAACGTTCTTGTCTGAACATCGATCACTACGACGTGCAATGCTGATTAGTGTTAGGGATGGTTAGAAGAAAGCTAGGGGCGGCCAATCAAAAACATGCCATCAGTGCTTAAAGTTAATAACTTCTGGTCTGAGCCATGTTGGTAGATGCAGACTACTTGGTTGGAATCCGCGCAACTATCATAACCAATGGTTAGAGTCTGTGTGACATGGCTGAGAATCGATCACAGTGGCGTGTGTGTATACACTTTTTGTCTTCTCTTAAACCGTGAAATTAAAATTACTTTATACCTTTCTTTCTACCAATTAGTTCTTTCTTCCTGTATTATATTCTCATACACAATCTTTTTTATGTATTACTACCATTGAAGTAACCACTATAAATTTGGTGTTGATCTTGTTGTACTAATAAGGTGTGGCAACTTGGACCGATGCATATATGTGCCTAGTCCTACGTTGTAGCTGACAGACTAAAGCACATACACCTGCGTAGAATTTTTAGATTTTGTTGACATGTAGGCAACACGCAGCTTGTTTTTTCACTTTTAACCAACTATTTTTTGCTATTGATGTTTTAACAGTATCTGTCCATATTCAATACTCAGGTTCTTTTTATCAAAGAAAGAACAATTGTAAAGTAGACTTTGTAGATAAACTGGATAGTTTTCAAGTACTGTATACAATAGCAAATTATTATCATCCTTCAACTGCAAATATTTACTCGCTTCCTTATGTGATTGGTCCCACACGTAGTTATATTTAGAAACATAGAAGAGCAACTCAGTGATTTAAGCTCGTATATTCAAATCACTAAATAATTAGCAGATTTGGACCCATCTCCACTCATTTCTCTTTAGCCACCATCCGGATAATAACTCTATCCATTGATTCTCATTCAGAAGATATGTTTCAATAGCCGGTTAAGTGAGTTTATACTTGGTTACCGAACTGCATTAATATTTTCTAAGGGTTAATCAGTAATTTTATTTCCTATTCATTTCAAGTTGTGAATAGTTGAATGGGACAAGAAATTTTGTTGGGATTCATATTACTATTTACTTAACTATTGTTTGACATTTTCTATAATATATATATGTATATTTACCTGTTTTTACAGAAAATAGAAGAACCTGTATTCAAACCTTTCAGTGGTACAGGTCATCAATTGAAATCACGCAAGAAATGAAAGATAGTCTAATATCCTCCATATTAAATTATTTGTCTCACTGTTTGTAACAAAGATTTCCACTTTGTTAATTTTTCGAGTTTTATTTCATTTGTTTAGAAGCACTTGTATAATTTGGTTGTTAATATTTTTTGCGTAGTAACAAATCTGTTAAATTGACAGTTTTTCTCGAGTGTCCTCGCATCCCACGCACTATGAAATGTCACCTTTTATGAAATAATTTGTTTTTTTATTTTTCAAAAGTCAGATAAGACCTTGTGATATTTCACTGATTAAAATGAAATTGACGTTAGGCGGTTGGAGACGATTGTCGGTAAACTGTGGACTTAGGTTTCATGCTAAATGTCATTCTTCAGCTAGGCATTTTTGCTATCTTGAGCGGTATAAATATGAATTAGTGGTCGGTTATTTAATAAACAGTTAAGATCAAAAATGCGAATCACCAAAACAAACAGTGGTTATTCCATCGATCACGACCAAGACACAATATAACGTAATTTTGTCATCGTGTATTTGGTGCAATGTATAATTAATTTGTTCCATCTAAATTTACTGACAGTTTACTTAGTAGCTACTGATTTTAGAAGTTCCAAGTTCGTTATCAGTATATTGATGATAAACAATTAGCAATATAAGGACGATTTTCTAAGAAATAGAAATGAAATAGTATTTACCCATCAAGCATTTTAAAGCCAAATAAAAAATAAAATATTTTATATTCATTAATTATTATTACAACCAGTAGTCGGTAGTGTACAGGAATAAGGCATCGTTATTGGCGTTCATAATACATCAGAAACTGATCGACATCCAAAATGAAAATTCGACAACCTACGATTATGATTGTATGAACAACAGATCATATTGTGTTAAGGATGCTGAATTCCCAAACACAACATTAGGATGATGTCAAATTTTAAAATTCTTGTGGTGATTAAAGCGAATTTTCATTTGTATTAATTTATTAAGTACGAAGTTAGTTTGATTTTTGATTCATTTCTCACTATATTCATAATTTCACTATGACTATGATCATCTGACGATTATTTAGTTAAATAAACTTTTGTAAAAATATTTGGACCACTTGACGACCATTCAATTTAAATTGAACATAATTTAATTCTTCTGGAGTCTTAACCAATACATCTTCTTTACAAGAACTCTCTTTTAATTGCGCAAAGGAATATCGCTGAAGTGTCTCATATTAGTCTCTCCGTCTATCCAATCCTCATGGGTCTTTTTTTGTACTAGAAGAATCTCTCAAACACTCGTCATTCGAAACCACCATACCCTTCTTGCTCAAACAAATCTACAACATACTGTACGTACATTCTATCCATGTTTACCTGATCTTATAATTTTATTATGAAAAATGGTGTCCCATTCTATTCTTTTGTAAACAGAAAGAAGCATACAATCTTGATTGTCTGGCCATTTTTAACTGTCATTCAAGTTTTATGAGATTCTCTGGATTTATCTAGCAAGTATATTGAAAGATTTTGTGAACAGATATCGGTCGACTTCGATACCATTCTATTCATCATTTCAAACAATAAGAAACCATGTACACGATACTAGTAATAATTCAAAACCCATAAACAATAGCAATGATATTGTAGCTTTATTAACTTATGTGTTCATTCTCAAAAATCAAGGCACTTTTTATGACATAGAATCAACACCAAATACGCGACTCGACCATATTATTAGTTACGGATTTAAGAGGCATAAATCATTACAGACAACAGAAACTTACCTGGCACCGGGTTCAGGGTGATCAGGAATGCTCTGATCCTGGTGGAGGCTCACCATTGCACCTCGGTGGGTTGAAACTCGCGACGAACCCTAACCGAGTGCGCTGGGGCGTGTAGTTTTGCTTTCTAATTTTCATTTTACAGTACTTTGCTACTAATTGATCTTATTTCTTAAGGGAAACTACTGAAATTATTTACATAATTCATTGAATTTTCTGTACATGGTATCTATGTGTTGTGAATGCCAACTCAGGTGGGGAAAATCAATTTATTGGTAAATGCAAAATTACAGAGTGATCTCGTAAAATATGAAAACCATACATTAAATACATAGTTTGCACATCTTCCACCAGTTGTCCTTTACATGTTTCATAATTCCTTTGTTATTGCAACTTCTGTTCTATTCAATTGAATCTCCTCAATCTTCTGCTGGCATGCATTCCGCCTCCGATTGCTACTACATACTACTTATATATGTCGACATAAGTAGCACACACCATAAATGTAGTTGTGGAACAAAAAGCTAGGTCATCATAAACAATTTTTGCATTTTATTGTATAGTTTCATCCTATTATTTTCAAACGTAGAAATGTCATCAGAACTATCAATAAACTGGTTTTGTGCAAAATTGTTTTTACTGACTAACAAATATTTAAGGAAAAAAAGCTAGCATTTGCTTACTTACGCCTGCTACCCCTTGTGGAGGAGTATAGACCGCCCACCAGCATTCTCCAGCGCAATCTGTCCTGGGCAATCCTTTCCAGTTGCCATTCATTCCTTTCATGTCTGCTTCCAATTCTCGACTCAGTGTGTTTTTTGACCTTTCTTGCTTCGTGATCCAGTTAGATGAATTTTGCAATCTATGTCCTATCCACTTCCAGTGTCTTTTCCTAATTTCATCCGGAAGCTGGTTTGTTCTCTTCCAAAGTAGGCTGTTGCTTATCGTATCCGACCAACAAATATCGAGTATCTTGAGTAGACAATAGTTTATAAATACTTGTATGTTTTTGATGACTGACTGTGGTAGTTCTCCAAGTTTCAGCTCCGTACTGTGGAATTGTCTAGACGTTCGAATTGAGGATTCTGACTACGATATCAGTTGACACTTGTTTTGAGTCCCATATTTTCTTCAAGTGTAGAAATACTGCCATTGTTTTGGCGATCCTTGGCTTTACGTTTCCATCCGAACCTCCTTGTTCACCGATGATGCTGACTAAGTACAGTGGTTTTCTTGGACTGCATTAGTTCGTATGTATGGGGTAGAATAACTAGGTCATCTATGAAGTTCAAATCGTCTAGTTGCATCCAACGAGTCCATTGAATACCGTGCTTCCCCTCAGATGTCGAGATCTTCATAATCCAGTCGACCACTAGAAGAAAGAGAAAGAAGGAGAGTAAGCAGTCTTGTCTGACTCTGGTCTTCTCTTGGAATTCATCTGTCAGCTGTCCTTCATGCACGACTTCACAGTGTAGTCCGTCATATGAGTTCTGTATGTTGTTGACGATGTTCTCAGAAACTCACACTAGTGTCGAAGAAGGTTCCATAAGGTCATGCAATCCACACTCAAACGCTTTCTCATAGTCAAGGAAGTTGATGTGCAGTGATGAGTTCCATTCAATTGATTGCTCAACGATCATCCGTGGTGTCGTGATTTGGTCTGCGCATGACCAATCCTTACGGAAAATGAACTGTTGATCTCGAAATTGGGCTACTGGGTCTTGCAACCGGTTCAGCAACACTGTTGAAAGCTTCTCCTGGTACCGATAGTAGTGTGATGCATGTGTAGCTACCACACTTGCTCAGATCTCCTTCCCTTGGTATGTAGACGAGGTATCCTACTTTTAGTCTGTCTGAAGCACTTGTTCCTCCTCCTAAATCTTCCTGAATATGACTGGCACGTTTTTGCCCGGTCTTGGCTAAGGCTAAGACAAACCATGATAATCGTTGCAAATTGGATCTTAAAGTCTCAAGTAACATTAGCTGCGGCTATATCGATGATTGGAAAGTGTATAGATGCCTCTCCAGACGTGGATTTGTGCATCATATTGTGGTTCACAAACGTCATTTTGTTGATCCAACGACGGGGCTCCATACAAACAACATTGAGGGCGTGTGGTCTAGGCTGAAGTATTTTTAAAGACCCTACCACGGCTCCAGAGGACGATTATTATGGAGTCATATGGACGAATTCTTATACCGCATGAACTATGATCTCAAAACTTCTGAACCTTTATCAAACCTCAACAAGTTCTTAAATCATGTAAAAGAAGAATATCCATTGTAATTCATTACTTTTTTATAATATATTTTTACTTTATACTAACTCTCTTCTGATTGGCTAATGCTCTCAAGGTCACTTAATTCGTTCAAAGGTCGTCCATAAAGTAGAGTTTCACCATTTTGACTTAGTAGGAACTAAAGATAGTCCACTTTGTTGATTAGTGATCAGCAGTTAGAGTTTAGCAGCTCGGGAATCAACATACGATTAATGTTCATTTTCTTTAACGTATATTGCCAACCAACACGATGTCTTTTATAGTACTTTTTGTAACTTGTGCAGCGAAAGATCGTGGGATTGTCATAAACGCGCCTGTATAGGTTATGCGATTAATGGACATAATGAGACGTTAAAACAAAATGGAAAAAAAACAGATAACTTGTTGAAATAATTAGATGGCAGAGACAGGTAGTCCAGATATTCAAGCAGGCCGCCGCTAAACTGGAGAATTTCCATTTCATTTGCTTTCTTTAATATGAAAATGGACACAAAAACTAATTCCGTTTATTACTCGAAATATGAAGAGGATTTTCCGTTTCACGCATCACAGTCATTAATCTTTAATATTATTATTATGACGTTGTTTTTATTGAAATTCTATATACTTATTCTTGGAATTTAAAAATAAAATGGAGACTGAGAATGTTTATAAATGAAGGATCAGATAAATACGGAAACGTTCTTGTGTGTATCTACACATTCAAATATGTTATGCAGAGAAATGAATGAATTTGGCATTTATTCACCTCCTTTATGATTGATGCTTATATCCTAGTTTTTACGCTCTTATTTATCTAATTTGAATTTAATCAACAAACTAGTGTATCTTGTTGAATTTTTTTCTGATCCAGATTACCTAAATTTTCATATCCGGTTTAATTAGTCATGAATACAGTAAACAAGCTTAAATTATCCTAATAACTAGAAATTATTAATAATACAGACATGTCTAGATTATCTTCCTCTTTTTTTCACGTTTTCGATCATAAATTGTATTTATTAGCATGTTGGAATCTCTTAATTTTTCATCTGATTAAGGAAAATATATTTATGAAATCAGAAAACAAGTAGATCATCGTAAACTTGCAAAAAAACAGTTTGTTTTTTAAAAGATGGCATTATTCATTTCCTATACTACTCATCTGAATTAATATAGAAGGTCAGCTGTTAATAAACTCCCATCTTTTTATTGTCATTTATTTATAAATGAAGGAAATCAAAACGTCTAATTAATTGACAAACGAAGGGCTATCTTTAATTACATATTATTTATTAATCATATATATGAGCGGTGACCTTGTCCCGATGAGTACTTCACTTACAGTTGCCCCATCCACCCTTAAACTTCTCATTAACCACGTGTCCTTATGATAACATGTTATCTGTCTGGAATTGACTGACATATTACATTTATTGCATTTCATCATCCGGCATGATATGGTTCATATTAATTAATCGTAGAATCCACTGTTACCACCTTATAGTAATTCAGATGGTTTATTAAAGCTTCTTCATACATAAGCTAAACTCTTCTGAGTCCTCGAAATCGGGGTCTATTAAAGTACGTCCCGGTCTTCTGTAAAGTATTTATTGTACCTGATTTAGTATGTAGTTACAAAAAGGAAATATGGATATTAATTTGGTTAGTAAATCGTTTCTAACCACCCATACGGTTTCTGAATAATGTTCCATGCAAATAAAGGATTTATCAACTCATATAGTACTTAGTTTACTTTAGGATCCCGATCTCTCTATTATTATGAAATAAATTATCATTGAAAATTTTATATTGACATTCTTTATAATAATAGTTGGATTTGTGTTGGCCAAACACAATAATATCAATGTTTACTTAAACAAAATTGGCTGAAATAACATTGGAACATTTCACTAAGCAATGGTATATTATACCTGGAGTTCTAAAAACAATTATTAAGATATCTCTGATTAGGAATTTAATAATTATCAGTTAGTTTTATGATATATCGGTTCATGGTAAAAGTACGCTTCATAAAAGGAACTTAGTAATCACTAGAAAGAGAATCCCAGCGGAGGAAAAAGCACTGGAAGTGGATAGGACACACATTGAGGAAAGCACCCAACTGCATCACAAGTTAAGCCCTCACATGGAATCCTCAAGGCCAAAGGAAAAGAGGAAGACCAAAGAACACATTATGTCGACAAATGGAGGCAGGCATGAGAAAAATGAACAAAAACTGGATAGAACTGGAAAGGAAGGCCCAGGACAGAATGGGTTGGAGAATACTGATCGGCGGCCTATACTCCATTAGGAGTAACAGGCGTAAGTAAGAAAGAGAATCCTACTTCCCTCCTATACTCTAAGGAGAATTTTATTAAAACTTAATAAATTATACCTCAAAATAAAAATAAGTAGTCGGACCAATATGATACAAGTTTTTTCCCATCTGATAAATAACAAATACTATTCTTTTCCTCAATATATATATATTTATCTATAATTGCATAATATTTCTTTTATACTAATTATAATTTAATTTACAATTTTGTGTTACATAAGTACATCTTTCACATGCACACATAGAATAAATTTCTCACTATCCTGTATTGTATTTATCTTCCTTCTCAATAATCATTTTCATTGTTCACTTAAATAAATGAGAAAACATGCATCATTTTAGGGTTGTAGAAAAGAAGAAAAAGAGGGAAGTATTATGTCTAAATTTAGTGTCTGCCATTATAATGTAATGAGTTTCTGAATAAGATTTTAGTAATATATGTACAAAATGGATTATTGGTGAACAGGAATCTATTTTCTATTTTATTTGTATAAGTAAGAGACCAACTTTTAATGTAATATTTTCTCAGATGGATTAATTCAACTGATGATCTTCAACCAATACGATTATTGTGAAGTTTATTATTGAGTAATTTTTGTTTAGCTAATCTGACTATTGACAGTACTATTTTAATAAGTCATTAGAATCCTTAACAACCTCAAATACCATTTGTAAGGATTCTACTGCTAGCCAAAATCCATTAATTCTATATATACAATCCGCACAGGTTGCTTATATACCAACAAAGACTGATCAAAATTCTGTCAAGCATATCAACAACGAGATGAGCCAGACCTTTTCTTATGATTTTGACATTTGTAAAGGGTTGTACTTCCTCATGGTTAATGTTAAGGACTGTAACTGATCCGTCAGTATTGACATATGGGCAACTTGAGCAGACTACTTACATGTATCCATTTAGTCACAAGCTTTTGCTGAAGTTGAATAGAGGCTAATGGTGGAATCCATGAACATTGAAGACATGGAGGATGACGTCACCCAAATATAGTTGACCAGCTAAATTTAGTCATTTCTTTTCCTATGTGCGCTCACACGCATCCCACTCACAATACATTGAAGTGCAGCGAAGAAATCTTACAATACAACCAACCTAAATACATGTATGTAAAAATGCTTAAAATACTTTTGAGAGAGATTAAACAAAATTGTTATCATTAATGTCGAGAAATACTAGATGAAAGAAGTAGGATAAATACAGGAGGGTAAGTTACTTTTTTTGTTGGAAAAAAAGTAGATAAACTCAAATCTACAAGACCGTTCCTTCTTTCAAAAATAGAATTATTTATTAACAAGGCGTTTATAATAAGTGAGGTTAATTTGTTACTTTCTATACAACTAAATTCAAGACAATTCACATAAACTACTTGACAGTAATAATAATAATAATAGAAAAATTAATAATGTTATTTTTAAACAAATAGTTCCAAATGGATGTAGTTTTTTTGAGAACTTACACAGTATTCAAATAGAAAGTTCTTAAAATTTCCGCTACTTGAAATAGTACTCCATTCAAACAATTGAATTGTGACAGCTGTAGAATTTTTCCAAAATCAACTAAGTAAATGAAACTATATTATATTGCTAAGTAAATGAAGTTTATAACACAGACATTTGGATCATTATAAGAAATTCAGTAAAGTAATACTGACTATATACTGATTATTGAGTAGTTTTGACAGTATCATTGTAAGTAGAAGATAGTGTCTGGTATGATATCGTTGATTGTAGAATGAGGTCAACTAAATTTAGCGATACACGAGATGCCTATGTATGATAATTAGAAGTATTTGAATTATAGTATGAACTAAGAATCCCAAAAATAAAGTAATCGGATCAAGAAGTACTAGATAACCACAAACGAATGTACTGTATTTAGAATTCGAAATCAAGCATTCAACAAGTACAAAGGAATCATTAGTTCATTCAAACACCACACTATGTGTTGGTGAGGTTTTGCATTAACAGACAAATTAATAAGAATTGATCCACTTCATTGTTTCTCATGTTTTGTAGTTAATGCTTAGGTATATCATTCAATCAGCAATCTATTAAATAATAATTACTTATGTGGTGTATCTGTATTCAAATAGATTTGAATATAATTATCAAATTATTGTTCATTAATTTCACTCCGTTGATTGATTTAAAAATTCATTTGAAAGACTCTGAGACTATGTCAGATTACTTATAAAACGATTTATGATCTGATAAAGAATTCAATAAGAAGTCGATTTGTAGTTCCATGGAAGTAGTCATAAGTATGTATGGTATAAAGCAGTGATCGTCATAAATATGATTAAATTCCTTTTCATACATAGGGAAATCTATAGAAAGAATAGAGATAGATAAACTTCGTTTTTTTCCATAATAATTTACCTTCACGAGGCACATGTAAATTATGATTGGTATGGAAAGTTGTAAAAACTCACTACTCATTCAGTTAACCTGAACTATTTTAAACAACGTGGTCAACTTATGGCACACGTGAGATACGTTCTGCTTCAGATACAACTAAAAGTGTTTTGATTACAACTATTGTTAGTGTTTATTAAGAATAGAGGATAGAATTGACAAAAATAATTCATTCGTTAGTTAATTGAAAACTGAATACTTCAGATAATAAACTCTTAGATGAGCATTATCAGAATATTGTCTACT